CTTTCATCTGGGTCAGCTACTGTTCCCTGCATAGATGTTCAACCCAACAGGAGTTTGGGCTCTGATCCCACTGCACAGGTTGGATGGAAGGGGCCACAGTCCTTCCTGGAAGGTCAGAAACAACTCTTCCAAGAAGTCAAATGGACTTCCCGGACCCTTGCTCAGAGATGTGACATGGTCTTTGGATTTTCTCAGTAGCAGCCTCCTGGACTTCTGAGGATTCAGCATTAATCACTGTTGTACTGGCCATTACGTGAAAGAAGAAACCAAACATCTTTGCTGTTGTTAATTATTGTATGTGCCATTGTTACAGGAAATTATAGGCTAGTCTGTAATAAATTATCTTTTAGCAGCCTGTGGGGTCTGGTAATTCTGCCGAAGTGTGGAAATGACACTTATATAATGGTGGGTTTCGTGCCAGTAGTTCTTTGCTGCTTCACATTACCCCCTTCCCTTGTCCCCCTGCCTCTCACCAGCCAAATGGAGGAGCTGAAAGTGGTTTGGGATAAGTACCAAGTAGTACAGCATCCACAGGGCTAGCATCTTGACCTTGACCTGTGACCACTGATCTGATAACAGTCATGGGACCTAGAGCATCAGCTTTCTGCAAAAAGATCTAAAAGAGTAGACCTGTAGTAGCATGTGCCAGCAAAAACTAGTGCATGTTCTTTCCTTTGTCTGGAACCACCAGGACAGACCACAGCCTGGGCTGTGAGGACAGGGCAGGGGCCTTCTGGGAAAAGATGTGCCTCCAGAGGTTGCCAGTGGGCTGAGGCTGCCACAGATAAGACAGGATTGGGCCAGGGAATACACATTGACCTTTCATCCAGGTTCTATTCAGAGAAGAGGAGCTACAGTAGAAAAACACTCCCAAAAAGGGGGAGATAAGGTGAAAGTGAGGACCCCTGGCTTGGGAATCAGAAAAGCTGAAGTAAGAAAGTAGTGCTCACCTACTCTCAGCCATACTATCATCTCTTGCAGAGTGGGGGACAGAGGGAACAAGGTAGGGAACTAAATTCATTTCCATTTGCTTGCTAAATAAATCCTTACCGTTCCATTGCCAAGTCGTTTAAAACTTCATCCTTATTGGTCCCTCTCCTCACCCAAAGGAATCATCTATCATTTCTGCCTTCTACTTCATTGTCTCACCTTAGTTCCCACTACAAGTGGAATAGTGGTGGTTAGTTCCTGTTATGTGGATTACTATTTAATCCCCTGCCTCCATTCTTTCCCGACCCCTTTACCTGACACACTTTGGTAAGTTTTTCCAGTCAAGGCTGTTCTGGTTACCCATAGCCTCCAAGCTGAAACTCCAAGATAGCACAGTTGCCACCAACCCACGCGCAGCATCCGGCAGCTATCCCGAAGCCACTGCCCTTGCAGTTCCTGCACACCGTACACTCGCACCCATCTGAGCCTTTGCATAGCCTGGGCCCTTTGTCAGAAGGCCAAACAGCCTTTCTCCAAATGCCTTCCGGGCCCTGACAGCTCAAGTCTTTAGGACCAAATCAACTCTGAACGAACCCTTTCTCTACAACACTCTACATTGTTAAAATTTGCTAGCCTGTCTGCCCTCATCAGCCAGTAATCTGCCCAAAGGTAAGGTCTGAGTATTTCTATTCCGCCTCCAGTGGCTGCCCCAGAGGCAGCATTCAGGGACTTCAAAGCCCGGAGCTGCACGAGGCCGCCTTCGGAAACCAAGCTGGAAGCTGAAAGGGCTCGTGGGAGAAGGGGCGTGGCCGGGGGCGGGGTTCGTCTCTCGGTCGGGAGCTCGGCTCTGCCGCGTTTGCGCAGAAAGGTGCGTTAAGATGGAAGTTGGTGGAGTCGACGGCTGTATGGCTGTATGGTGACGGTGAGTAAGAGGCGCCCAAAGGGGGTGCTGTAGGAGAGGTTATGGCCTTTTCCCCGACATTACTTGGAGAGAAACCGTACCCTAGACTCCCTGACATTCGTGGCACTCTCAGCACTTCCCGGTAGCTGTCCATCTTGACACTTTCTTGAGCGCTCTCCCTCTAGGCCCCCAGGTTATTATCTCTCCAACTCTTCCAGTATACAAGTTTCCCACTTTCTGAGAAGAGCTTTTTCCTTCAGGTATCTAGCAAAGGGGGTCTTTATTCCCTAAGTAACTGCCAAAGGGTACACGTTTATCCAGTTTTTTTCGGCAGGTACTCCCAAAGCCCCAGCTATGGTATATTTCTGTTAACTCCATTTGTCCACTTTTCTAGCACTATCTGGATTCTCCGAGAAACCATAAACCTTGTCCCAGGTTTGACCTGAAAGTAACACATTTACTATCATTCCCTTCCTTTTAGAGAATCGATAAGGAAAAGTCAAACCCTGGTTGGCTGTTGTCGTTTGCAACAGGTTTACAGGTTTGAATTAATAGTCAATTTTTAAAACCAGATTTTGCATTTTTAAAATACAGATTTTGAGCTTTTTTTGGTGAAACTGGAAGATAGGTTAACTCTTTGGCACATTGCTATAAAGCAACAGGTGTTAGCAAACTCAGTTTCTCCATCTGAACATCACATTACTCACCTGATATCTGGTAGGCATTTACTTGGGTTTGCCATCACTGAGGTATGACGGGGTCTTCAAAAAGTTCATGGAAAATGTGTATTATGAGGAAAAACTGCATGGATTTCAAGGTTGCTTTGTACAAAAATAAACTTTTATTTTAATTCCACTTTTCCACAGACTTTTCGAAATACTGTTGTAGAACTTTGAGTCGTTTTCTTAGCCAATACTTTAATGAAAACTGAAATCCAAAGGTTGGCTATACTAGGTTGACTTTGGCTACTGTAATGTACTGATTGAGAACAGAGATTATCCTAATAGTTAGGACACAGAGTAAAATATGAACCAAAATGATTTTGGTAAGAGAATGTGCACTATCTATAGATAGCTCCCTGGTATATTTTATCTTGAAGAAACCCAGTATGCCAACTCCTTTCTGGTGGGACCATGGCAAGGACGAGGTGTTATCGCCCCCCACCCCCATGACCACCTGGTTATAAAAGAGTCTGGCTCTTGTCTGTACAGGGAATGATGTGTCAAAGTGCTGTCTCCTGGAACCAGCAACTGAGGTAATGGTTATGTCGCTGGATTCCCATGTAGTTGACCACAGTTTGAGTCCCAGACCCAACGGTTTGACACTCACACCAGGCACGTGTGTGTGTGTGCGCACGCGCGTGTGCGCCTAAAGTCCCAAGAGGATAATGGAGGAGAAGGGATTGTGGCATAGCCATCCCCCTGGAGGAGGATTTCTCACGTTCTGTCTCTGTGTCTCTCTGGTGAGTGCACATACCCTATGGCAAAAATCTCTCTTAAAAAAAAAAGTGCTGGGAACCAGCAGTTAGCGTAATGGCTATGTCGCTGGACTCCCACGTACTCAACCACAGTTCGCGTCCTGGACCCGGTGGCTTAAAACTCATGCCAGGCGCGTGTGCGTGCGTGCCCAAGATCCCAAGAGGAGAATGGAGGAGAAGGGATTGCGGCGTGACCATTCCCCCAGGGGGTGATTTCTCGCTTTCTGTCTTTCTGTCTTTCTGTCTGTCTGTCTGGCAAGCGCATGCGCGAAAACCATCCCAAAAAAAAAAAAATTGTTGTCTCCACTTCAAAACACAATTGGGGGACCAGCAGTTAGAGTAATGGCTATGTCGCTGAACTCCCATGTAGTTGACCCCAGTTCGAGTCCTGGACCCAGTGGCTTAAACTCACATCGGGCACGTGTGTATGCATGCCCAACATCCCGAGAGGAGAATGGAGGAGAAAGGATTGTGGCGTGGCCATCTCCCCTGGGGAGTGATTTCTTGCTTTCTATCTCTCTGTCTGTCTCTGTCTTTCTGGCAAATGCACACCCTATAGCAAAAAACTCTAAAAAATAAACAAAAACAAAAAAACCACAATTGGTAGCCCTCTTCTCTGAGATAAAGAACAGGCCTGCTGTGTTATTCTAGAAGCCATGTGGGAAGGCTCCTGAGTTCAAGTCCCGGGTCTACCTGAGCATATAGAGTGTGGGGGAGATCCAGGTTGGCTACAGAATGGGGGAAAGATGGCAGCATGAAGACCCAGTTGAGGGTATCTCCTTGATCTTTGGTAATAAATTACCTCTAAGTTAAAAAAATAAAAAGTATTAGGTCATTGGAAAAGTCATAACACATTTTTGCATTGAAAAATATGTCTTGGGCCGGGCGTGTGTGCGTGCGTGCCCAAGATCCCGAGAGGAAATGGAGGAGAAGGGATTGCGGCATTACCATCCCCCCAGGAGGTGATTTCTCACTTTCTCTTTCTCTCTTTTTGGCGAGCGCATGCACCCTATAGCAAAATAATAAAACAAAACTATGTCTTGGGACCAGCAGTTGGTGTAATGGCTATGTTGATGGACTCCCATGTCCTCTACTGCAGTTCGAGTCCTGGACCTGGTGGCTTAGACTTATGCCGGACACGTGTGTGGGTGTCCCCAAGATCCTGAGAGGAGAATGGAGAAGAAGGGATTGTGGCATGACCATTCCCTCTGGGGGAGGGGGTGATTTCTCCCTTCCTGTCTCTTTCTTTCTGGCAAGCACACACACCCTGTGGCAAAAACCTCTCCAAGGGGAAAAAAAGTCTTGACTTCTCTGACCTAATAGAACAGAAGAAGTATCTTTTTTTTTTTTTTTTTTTTTAAGGTTTTTGACATAGGGTATGTGCCCTCACCAGAGAGAAAGAGACAGAAGATTAAAAATCACCCCACAGAGGGGATGCTTGTGCCACAATCCCTTGTCCTCCATTCTCCTCTGGGGACTTTGGGCATACATACACACACAAGCCCAGTGTGATTTTCAAGCTACCAGGTCTGGGACTCAAACCACGGTCAGCCAGGTGGGAATCCAACATCCTAACCATTGTGCCACCTGATGGCCCTCAGGAGTACCTTTAATAGTGGATTTTTTTAAGAAGCGAAATCACTTTCAGCATAAGTGTGACTCACCTATTTATCATGAATATTCATACTAATTCCCTGAATAATTCTCCCATGCCCAGAAGCAGAAAGGCAAAGCTGAAGAACAGTGGACACAATACTGAAGTAGGAGTCAGAAGATGTAAATACTGATCCAGCTCTGCTACGTACTAGTCAGGATACCTTGATCTTTAATTTCTCTGAGGCTCAGTTTCCTAAAACAAGCAATTCCTGCCTTATCTACCTTAAAGGGATCAAAAGTGCTTTCAAAGTGCTTGTGAAAACATTTTGAAAATTACAGATTTTCTCTTAGCATATAAAGGATTACTGTTATTATAAATGATTTTCTGAGTTCTGATTATAATTTCCAAGGAATTAGTTTTGCTGGGTCTTTGGTTAAGATCTGAATTACTTGTTGAGCTCTTACTACATATGCCAGCTATTTATCTAGGCATGGAGCCTAGTATTGAAGAAAAGAGACAACACTGGTAATTCCTGGTAATTTGGGGACTGAGTCATCCATATATTAAGTGCTGCTAAGTACCTAGTGCTGTATCACAGCCCAATGAAATAGCAAAGATTGTAGAATTAATTTTGCCCCTAGATAGCTGTGTGAGAAGGACTTACCCCTATAGGCCTGCTCATCTGTAAAATAAGGTTAAACAAAGTAGTCTCTAAATTCATTTCTAGCTAAAATGTGTTTGTCACTTGAGATTTTAAGTTTTCTCCCCCAATGAGCTTATTGTTTTGTCAAAATGACTAGGTTGACCTAGGGTCAGACTAGGATACATGTGTAGGTTTGTGTCAGCTGTGCTAGCTAATGGATTTATTTAGACTAATTAAGTTCATTAGCAGAACAATTGAATGGGGGGGGGAGGAAGGTATGGAGGACAACCATGGATGCCAGGGAAAAAGGGGGGGGA